ACGATATGCAGAGTACGACATACTATCAATGTATCGAATGGATGGACGGATGCACCGTTCTATTTTATGCTATTTTTATTGTGTATGTAAGTGTAGGTGTAGTTTATTCAAGCTTTAGAAAACGTTCTACACATGAGTTTTTCTCTTCTTCACTATTATTAACATTGCATTAGCTATTATTTCGTATGCGTGTGAGAATCGAATCAATTCTACAGCGTTGTTCAGAAATGCCATTAACTTTGCAAGAAAAATTTATTGAAAAATACTCGCATCAAAGGTAAATGCGTGAGGATATCCATCAATAAACCAAATATGTGCTCGAGAGACTAAGCGATAACACTAGTATTCACAGGTCGTATGGGGAATTTTTTCACGTAGTTTATGCTAAATGTTATATGCACACATTTTTGAATTTTGCGTAAATTTTCATGTTTACCATCTGTTAAAGCGACCATCACTACACTTTTACACAACAGTTAAGGAGGATGCAATTCTTCTTGCAACTATTGAGACATAACTGCCAGTGGACAGTTAAGATTGCAACTTGATTTACGTTCAACGGTATGTGACTCCTTTCGCATAATGTTGCAATTCTCCCATGGTAAAGTTTTGACAAAATCATTCTTTTTTCTTGTATAAATGATTTCTTAAGACTTTAGTCTTAGCATTTATTTCTCTCTCTCTCTCTCTACTATGCTTTGTAAAGGCATGAAGATGAAGTGTTTCTTTTTTTCATTCATTCAAGTTGCACTGTTGCAAGTTACACGGCGTACCAGAGAGCGCGTTAAATTAAATACGCAGTCGAATAATTTGCACGAATAGTATAAATTAACTCAATTACTAATACTTCATGACGAAAATAGCTCAAGAGTAGTAAGACAATTCATTTTGCTAACTTTGAGTCGCTTCAGTTCTCGTTTTGGGTTCTCCTTGATACAAGATTTTCTATAGGGAGTATGCCTTCACATGGAAACAAATTAATAATTAGGCAAGGTATATAGGATGATTCACGGTCCGACTAGACTTACTACACTGTTTGTACTTGAGACAAAAGATTTCCATTTAAAAAATTATTGATGCTAGCTTATGTAGTTACATTGATTTCGCTTAAAGACAATTTCCATTTAAACTTGATTGCAAATTAAGGACAAACGTCAAATGGTCGCGAATAATCGACAAAGTACTTAAGATTTACATATATAATTGGGATAATAGATTTGCAAGATATGCAGCCTAAGGCGAACGAAGTTCTCTATCTCGTTGTCTTTAAAACTTTGTTTTCATAATTGTGTTGACGTGGAGTACCTGTTGATTGCTCTTACATAGAAATTAAATTGACAAAAAAAAAAAAAAAAAAAAAAGCAAAAACATGTTAAGTAAAGTTCTGAGAAAAATTCTTACGATATATCTGCGTAAAGGTCGTTAGGTTTGTGAATGTCTTCCGATTGCTTGTGCACAACTGTAGGCCTAAAAACATGTGTGAAATTGTTTCCGAGATCAATTTCACACATTAAGGAAGATATTTGATTTTACAGCTTCCCCCGGAATGCAATACTCAATAATTGAAGTAATTTCTTTTGATTACTTCTGTAAGAGTCGAATACAGACAAATAAATCAATGCTTACGTACACATGTATCCATCCGTTGCCTTTGACGGCTCTTTCAAGCATGTCGAGTCGCGTTAAAATAGGAAAGCATGCTAACTTTATTGTAATATTTGTATTTGTTTTTCCATTTCTGGCGAAAAGTGAATTAAAATTTCCTGCTATTTGAACTCATTTTGGTTTAGAGAAATGTTTCTCCTGCACTTCATCAAAGTCGAATTGTAGTCACAATTTTCCGTGAAATTGTTTTGAACGTAAGGGTGATAGTGATTCGCTTCGACCTCAGACCAATGGTTTTCTGTTTTTGTTGTATTAAGTTTCTCTTAATAGTACTAAAGGGTTTTTCTACTTATTTACTTATGCACGAAAAAAAATGCAGCATTTGTGTACGACATGTATGCGCATGCATGTATTTATACGAAACCACTTATTTTAGTTGACTTTTCTTTTTCATATTGTTTTCTCTCGTTCGTTCTCTTCACATTCACTTGAAGTACTCACAATTATAAAACCAAGAAAACTTTAAAGTGTTGGCCAAATAATACGTCTTTACTTAGTCTTTTTTTCTTATTTTACCTCCTCTTTGTAGAACTTGGCACAGCATAGACGGGTGTAAAAGGTCATAAAAATATATTAGAAACGAAGTCAAATATTTGCAAATTCATTTTTTAATACTAAAATTCAAAATTTATATTGTGTAAGGAGTTCCGCTGTGAGTAATTCTGTATGTGCATTAATCAATTGAGTATCACTTGAGAGACATTGCATTCTCACCATATGATTGTCTATAATACAACAACAACAACAACAGTGACTATATCAACTAAATTAAAATAGAAGACAGGAGCAATCTCGAAATAAGACGTGACACCACTTGTCAGTCATGACATCTGCCATGCATGCGGGCTAACAACCCAACGTATAACCATTAGCGCTCTTCAGTTACGCATACTGACACTGCACGCTACTAGTTTTGCTAATCTCTTACAGTCATTTAATGACAAACGAAGTTGAAAGCATTTAATGCTTCTTCTCTAATAGCAGATCACCACATCGATAGTGTTTGTGCATAACGATCAGCTAGCTGTTCGCTGATAATAAATGCTACAAAGCCAGCCCAAGTAAAAGCTTCGGAGAAGATACAAGACGACGACATAGCTTTTCGTAAATTGTTTCAAACCTGCCTTTATATGGGTACGGTTTTCGATCAGCTGAATTATTTAGTAGTCCTTCGTGCAGTATCTGAGTCAAATATCAAAGTTTAACATCTTTTAGTTCTGCGCTTCTTAAACGATTCGTGGAATTAAAGGCGCGAGGGAAACACTGAAACAAGCGGTGAAAATTTAGTTATCGCAGGTTTATTGAGCCGTCATCCTAAGCGATTGAAACCATTTGAAACCACACCGTAGACCGGACAGTTTAATTCATCTTCTAATAACTTTTTAATGACACCCTTTGAATCGTCTTGGATTTGGTTTCCTTTTCTTTATTTATACTTTTTATATGTCCTTCCATAGAATGATAATTTGAGCTTTGCATTCACGCTTGCTCCCTAACCTTTGTCTACTTTTTCTGTTGAGAACATAAAGAAAATAGAGGCGCGTCGAGAGAAAAACAACTTCAACTGTCTTTATGCACCAAATAAGGAGAAAGAGTTGAAAAGACTTGTTAACTGAAATGAAGTTAGTAAGTAAAGTTAGTTGAAAAAAAATTGGACTTGTGGTAGTTTGTTCACGGCTTTGCATAATAATTGAATAATTATTAAGGGCCTTTCCCGCTGATTCCACTCCAAATATTTAAGGGGACAATACAACCAAAGAAATCAATTTAAAAGAAATTATATCTGACTGATTGATCGAGTAGGCAGTCAATGTCGGCTAGCAACGCAAAGGGTGTGAGATCGTATCTCAAGTGCGATCGAGTTTTCAATAAAGCCGATAGGCTTTACATACTAATCCTTTAAGACTTTAGTCTTACAATTTATTTCTCTGGCTAAAATAACTATCTTTAATAATTATAATAGGAAAGCTAAGATTTTAGACAATTATATAAAAGGCATTGTTTTGAAACCCAATCATTTTCATATTCAACATTATGCTAGACATTATGCATTACAGTAACAGTCGACGTATTCCGTGAGAGTCAACAGAATATGCAGAAATCTGAACGAGTCACTTAACAGAACATAGCAAGCCTTGTAGAAATATTGTAACAGCGACTGTAAAGTGCACATGTCGGATAGAACATGTGCCACTTTGCAGAAGAAAAATGCACTTAAATACATTGAACAGAGTTATAAAATTATAACAAAAGAATGTTACTCTGCTTCATAACATTTACTATTCTGTCTAAGTTAACATTTATATCTTGCTCTTGTTATTTCTCGTCGTTCTTCTCTTTAACTCTGCATAATATAGAGATAGCCTTGATAAAGCAATTTGAGAAGAGAAGAGAAGAGAATTTTTGTATATAGCATCCCATAAAGCTTTCAGATACGGCTCTGTTTGCGATAAAAATGCTCCAGAGATTGAACCGAGGCGGATGAAAGTAGCACAAAATCAGGACATGAAACAGCATCAAAATTTATTTGAGATTTTAGTCGCTGCGTTAACACTCAGTAGAACAGTCAGTACTTGTCATATATACATGACAGAGGAAATTTTATTGTTTTTTATTCCAATAAAACAAAGGCTAAGTAGGAAAATTGTGAATTATCTTCAATCATCGAAAACGATAGAACAATGGCGAAATGAGCGAGAAAGAGAGTAAATAACAAATGAATAACAAATGAAATGAACGACACGTACGATGAATCAAATGCGGTTTAAGTCAATTATTTAAATGAAATTGTGAAAATAATTTATTTTGAAAATATTATAAAAGAAAAGACGGCAGCCAACCAACCAACCAACCAACCAACCAACCAATCAATCCATAATGTGTTGTTTTATTTTAGGCAAAGAAAAATTTTACAAAATCTTAAAATAATTCAGATGATTGCTGGCTTTAGTTTGTGTATACAATGATAGCGAGAAAATATTTGCGAGCAAAAGTATAACAAAAATATAATAAAAAGTTTTATGGGTGAAAAAACAAGAAAAATTTACAGATTTAAGTGTAAAATTTCGCACAGACTCGCAAGTCTGCAATTGCATATGCATATGTAGATGCTGGTACGAGCCCTTTTTTATGCACTTCGGCTCTTCGTCTGTCCCCGTTTACGCTGAAAGCGACTTAAAGGTGCCATAATGGCATAAATGCTAAAGTTTATGAATATACAGTTTTACAATTACATACACATACGCATTCAAAAAAAAAAAAAAAAGAAAGTAAGAAAGAAAGAAAAAAAAAAGAGCACACATACACACACATACACACACATACCCAAACACATACACTCAAACATATACACGCGTACACACACACGAGTTTACACATTACGTTATAGATATGCATATGCATGTATATACATATATATATATATGCGTATATATACATAATATATGTGGGAAACGTTCCGAAGAAATGTAAGCGAATATGAGCAACAAGCCACTTAACGCTCTTAACCAAACTTGAAAAACATTCATTCACTTTATAATGATATAGTCATTGTTTAAAATCTTCAAAGGGTAAGCGAATAAAAATGCCTGTAAAGGAAAAAAAGTGCTTCACTATATCGCCTAACAACAACAAGAACAACAACGACAACAACAACAACAACAACAACAACAACACCGAGCATAATTAAATTATAGGCCTTTATGTGAATTAAATTGTTTAGTGAAAGTTAAGCAAAGCAAAAAGTGAAAACTGCACTCACTCAAACACTTACTTTCTGAAGCGTCATTCATTAAAACAGCATTCAACAAAAACATGTAATGTTTACATATTACGGCAAAAAACAAATACTTCCCTGTGCATAATAAACGTAGCGAAACGTAGCCTTGTTCTTTTCTTTTCATTTCTCTGCATATCATGGATAATTAAATATTTATTGTTTCTGTAAATAAGTTTGCGTTGCGAATAATTATGACTTAAAACCTTGCCGTTGTGCTGTGGACTTAATCCGCCCTCTAAACAGTAATTGAAAGCGATTTCATAAATAAACAAAAGAAAGTTACATAAGTAATTATTAAAATTACACCTAGGGCAATATTCGGTCACACCGAAAGCTTATACAGTTCAACAAAATGGATTACTGGCTATTTATGGTTGCTACGCTACTTTTCACTGGTAAGACACTTACTTAATCATGTATATGCGTATATTTATATACTTTACACTTTACATGGTGGTATGACTAATATTTTTATTCAAGTTTCTTTCTAAGGATATTACTCATACGCCTAATGAGACAATTTCTTTATTCATAATACAAAGGACTGCAATAATATTGCAACAAATCTAACTCGCTATATGGGAAAAATCGCTTTTGTCCATGACACTGGCATTGCTTAACTATTCTTTATTCTTCAAATTTTTTTAATATTGATTGAATTTTAGAAGAACGCAGTCTCTTTAGAATGCCTTTTTTCCCTCATTAAATTGACAGTTCAACCTTTTATAGCCTGTCATATAAAGTGTCGTTGCTCTCTTTGGTCTTTGGAAATCGACAGCAATAAGTTATGAGCAAAATATAAATTTTTATGTTTTAATGTTTTCCTTGCAAACACGATTTAATGAATTACGTATAAAATCAATCAATAAATCGTCAATAAATGATGGCGGCTATTGAACTATAGGATATATATGATGACACACAGAGACAGAAACGGAGTAGTTGCCAGGTCTACACTTAACTTAAATTAAGTTGCCACGCATTTCTCTTGACATTACAAGCTCTTTGATCCATGACCGCCAGCTGAATGGAAACTATTTCTTCAATTCTCTTATAACCTTTCGAAAAATGAGGTCTGAATAAGAAACCTTACCTGTGACTGTGATATAAATCGGAAGACTTAGGAAGAATGGCTAAGTCCTTTCCGCACATTAGTTCTATTACAATGCATTAGTTCTCAAGCGTTGTGTTGATAATGGGCATGCCCGTTTCTTGGTCGTAACTTTTTAAACACAAATCTTTTTGTTGGGCGGAGAAAATTATTGTAGCTAACCTTAGCTGCATACTTATATTCCAAACATTTTTTGTATATTTTAAACAGGTTTCGCCCATTCCCCAGCGTAGACCTTTTGCTTATCGTAGAAGAGCTCCTCCCCAATTTTTCAGCTGATGTTTTTAAGGGTCTTGTAAAACATTTCCTTTAAGTTTTCTGTTAACGTCTTCCTTGGGCATTTTTCGTGTAGGCAATGGAGTCGGTCATGCTTCTGGGATTACCATGAGAAAAGTTTCCTTTACGTTTACTGTCATCTGTGAATTGATTGAAAAGAAAGTGCACACGTGCATCTTACAGGACTTTGTAAACAAATTCTTGTGTTTCTTGCTTCCTCACAACGTTACGCATAAATCTTTAAGAAAGTAAGGCATTACAATTTAAATATTTATAGAGCGCTTCAGTTTATTTGAAGAAACTAAGAAGATTTTGTCAATAAACATATATTTACACATTAACCCTAAAAGCTTATGGCTGCTGCAGACACGAAACAGGAGGATAAGTCGATGATAAGTTTTTGTGTGATTTCTGATCAGAAATTTAAGGGACGCAATCTATTTGAAATACATTTTTGAATACTAGCTTCAAAGTGAGAAAACTAAACTTTACTTGATGTGGCTATGAAGGAAAAATATTACATTGGTGTGCTATACATGAAAATATCAATTGAACGCGACGCGGTAATGCTTTCAAAACAAAGCATATTGTTTGCCTGCTTGTTCCAGAATCTTTATTAAAGTGAATTAGATTGCTGGAAAGAAATTACGAAATTGCTTTCAATTGAAAACGAAGAGCTTATATTTTATCTCAATTTATGCTTCCGTAGAGTTTCGTATAAACAAAAGTGAATTAATTTGAAGAGGCATGAAGCGTATCTGCCGATTGGAAAATTGCATTCAGAGAGCAAAAAAAAAAAAAAAAACACTTGAAATTTAATAGAATGTAAACAGAGCAAGTAAAGTACAGAAAAAAATTGTAACGAGATTAAGCGGGAGATACTTGCATGCACATACACCACAATTTGTCCCAGTAAAGTCAAGTGGGAACGCGATACGTAAACATGAAGCAAAATCAAAGTTTCGGAAAATGAAGACACATCACGCCTAAAATGCCTAATAAAATTTTACAACACAACTGTTTCATGCACGCATAGCATCAAGATGATCCTAATGAATATCGCAAAACAATATTTATTGTAAATGTGGGGTCAGTTAGGTATTATTTTCTGAATGTTCTTCTGCGATGCGAACAAAATTTACCCACACCATTCGGTGTCGTGAATCACAACAACAAAGCAGAAACAGATCATAATCTTCTTTTCTTCATAGGAGTTCTGCTCTAGAGCAGGTTTAACCTCCATGTGAAATCCTTACGATCTACGTTTGCCTAAGATCACCGTAAAGAAGAAGGTTAGAGAAAGAAGCGAACACCAAAATAAAAAAAAAGGCTTCGAACGAACCTATGAAAATTTTTGATTTATTTTTACTTTCACATAATAATGTGTTTTCAATTCTTTGGGGAGATCCAGTCGAAGCGACGCAACACTTTTGATTGTTTTTTCCCTCCGATATATGATATATAGATGTTTCACATAAAATCGCCTGCAGACATATTAAAGTTCAAAGTAAGCGTCTCTTGTGTATGCGAAAAAATACAAAAAATTAATTTTCTTTTATTAGCCACATTTAATGAGAGGACAAAAAAGCAATTCGTTGCCAAAGTTCTATTAGCTATGTATGCCCTGGAAACATAACATCATTGCTATTTGTATGTAGTATGGTAAGCATATCATAAAGTATAAACAAAGAGAATTCTAGATTAAACAAACAATAATTCTATTATAAAAATAATTCTAAATGAAATTATGAGTGAGTGTAAGAAAAAAAAGAATAAAACATTTAATAATATTATAACTAAACATTATAATTATAAATAACATCGCATAGAGAATTAAAGCGATAGAAGAAAACAGACAATGATAATAATAATATTATTATTTTCGCATGAAGAGCTAAATACGTACTTTTCATGAACTAATTCCGAACAACAGCTAATGGCTGGCGGCAAAGTTCATTTAATGAAATTAAATTTTCACCAACACATCTGATTGTGATAAGTTTGCTGCTCGCAATTTTGATAAAAAAAAAAAGAGCAAAAACAAAAAATATTGTTTTAAAAAATTACTTTGGCTTCCACTTGTATACTATCTCTTATATTAGCAGAAAAGATTACAAAAATTAAGCGCAATTTCCCCCCAAAAATTTAGGCCATGAATTTGAATGCGCTTTTCCAACAATATTTCTTGATTGTTTTAACACGAGCGAGCGAGGCAATCGCTTCGTCTGACAACACTCAAAAGGCGCCATATAGTATATGTACCCCTGTTCAGTTAGTTATTTCGAATCAATAAAATAAAATATTCATCCTTTACGTCTCTACTTCGTGCCAACTTTCATCATGACATACTAAAAGTTACATGGGCAGATATCAGAAATCTAAACTGGATTAGATGGAAATGATGATTCTTAATGTTAGGTGTGCAAATAAATTTTCTGCACTTTTTGATAAAAATCAAATTAAATAAAAAAAAGCGGCTTTAATGCCATTGCTGCCCATGCTCTTTTGCCGTATATCAGATGGCTTGCGTATGCCCTCGTGGTAGAATCTTTGTAGTTCCAAGGTGAAAGCGAACTATTTCCTCACTTCTGTGAGCCGCTGATCTGCTAACTATAATTGCACCGATCTGAAGAAGTAGCAAACAGAAGAAGAGAATAATTCTCTAATCAGGATATGCTTCCAGCCCAAAGTAAAGATCCCTTCCTGTGTGGTTTTTGCTACAGATGGACAGACTGTACATTGTCTTAAACACGAGATTTCGCGAACCATCTTCTGCATTTCTTTCCCATTTTCCCCTTTGATATGCTGAACGGCAGCTTGTCAACTTGTACTTGCTATTTCGGAAGAATGAAGGCGGCAAGTAGATGAAAATAAAGCAAATAATTTTAAATTGAGACCTTGTTCGTACGTCTACTACATTGAGTCCTTCTAGATGTTATAAACATTGCCATAAATTTGGTATGCCCTTATAACAGAACGCGTCTAGAGTGTAGCGATGGATATCCTGCAATGGAGAAAAAATTACAATGAAACCATTACTAACCAGCTACTATTACTAATCGCTTTCAACACTTTGTGTGAGTTATAAGAAACTTTTGCAAACTTTAGATAAACTATTTAATAAACATCTAACTAACATCTGTTCTCAATGTGTGCAAGAATAGTTTAATTAACTTAAAGACGATAGAACGAGTTTCAATGTATGCTCGCATAAGTGTGCAAAAGCTCCGAAATAATATAAGGTAAATTTTGAAAATGTGAAATGTGGATTGCGAGGAGACTCGAGTATTTAATCATCCATTGGGAGAAGTCTGAAATCAGTTTACAACAATTAAATCAATTCAAATTTCATTTTTTTAATATCAAAAAAAAATCATACAAAGCTTAATGATTAATTTTAATTTAAAGGGATTTCTGAAATACGAAAAAAAAAAATAAATAAATAAATAAAAAATTGTTAATATTTTTTTTAAATATACATATGAAGCGATCGAAATGAAAGTAAAATATTTTTTCTACTATATCGAGAAACAATTTCAATAAATTACATTTTCCTTTACATATACGTATATGCAAATAAATGAACCCGGGGGGTACAGTACTTTGTCTCTATAACGATCCATGCTTCCAATAATGAAAGATCTTTCCTTTTCACCTAAAGTCTCGTTTATAAAAAAAAAAAAAAAAAGGAAAAGAAAATATTTGAAAATCCGCTTAATAAAATATTTTCTCTCAAAAGTAATCAAGCATGACATGACTAAAATAGAGATTATAAGGTAATGAATTCGTAATGGAACCCTTGCCATAAATTGCCAAACATTATTTATTTTTTATTTTTATTTATTGACTTTAGTCGTTGATCCAAGTGCAAAGTACTGTACACATTATTACATATTCATATATGATATCTGAATGCGAATTACGTGCTTATATATATATATATATATATGTATATATATTGTAGATATACAACGCGTATGGAGTTTGTTTGTGACTGATTTAAATGTGCCGGAAATTGTTGATTTTCGTGATAACGTTACATTATCGTGCAGCTACGATATGAGCGGCCACACTTTGAACTCTGTCAAATGGTATAAGGATAAAATGGAATTTTTCAGGTATGGGCTGAGAATAATAATAAAACGATATAAAATGTAAAATGATTGCAAGTTACAAACATATAAACATTATGACGCATATAAACATTTACACGTACTCGTGCTCATACTCATACTCGCTCACATGCACACTTAACATGCATTAAGGATTTTAAAAATATTTATTTATTAATAAACAAATATTTATATGGAGAGATAACACATGCTTTTTATATGAGCTTTTGTGGTTTTATATGTTGTCTTTATCTTTTGTCTCGTTTTTCGCTTTTCTCGTTTTTTGTTTTTTTTTTTTTTTTTTTTTTTTTTGATTCTTTTATACATTTTCCGTTGTTTTTGTGCGATGCCTTCGGTTATTTGCAGATATTCACCTATGATGCATCCGGTTTATATAAAATTTCCGGTTGTTGGTGTGCAAATGCCCGACGGTAAATACTTTTGTAATGAATCAACGTGTCGTGTCGAGTTAAGTATGCTTAGCGCCAAGTCATCAGGTGTCTACAAGTGCGAGGTGTCGGGCGATGCGCCACATTTTCAACTGGCAGCCAAAGAGGATAATATGACCGTAGCAGGTAAGGCTGTTTGACGTACATATCCTGCTCATAAGTGTCCTTTTTCGTGATTAAATTTGAAATTTCTGGTAAAGTGAGCGCAATTAAAATGGAACGCATAAGTAAATGCGTGCAGATAGAGAAAACACTTTTTTCTCTAAACTTTTCACATGTACTTGTGCTGCTTGCGTTAAAAGTAATGAAAATATGTAGTGCCACTCCCCTAAAAAATCTATAAAAATTCAAAATTTATTTGCATGATTTTTCCACAAAAAATGCACTTCGTAAGAGAACAGGTTGAGGAGTTATTAAAGTGAAGAACGTTCGATCTAAGAAGAAGGCAAAGAAAATGGTTGTAAGAGCAACTTTGCCAGCTCTGCAAAGTTGAAACCTAAATTGAATAGAGGCTAAGCATTGATGCTTCAAAACTTGATACACCGTTTAATTATTAGATAATGAAGACATGAACGGACGAACAACAAGAGTTGACGGCTAGTCAAAGAGCATTTATTTTTTGCATAAATCATCACCTTACACATTGGTGGTAGTGCTCTGAGCTTAAGAACACTATTCTATAGCTTAAGTGCAAAGGTTGCTGATACGGTGACATTTTAATACGAAATTACGTTCTTTCACATCTGAATTATTAGATAGTAATGCTCTGCCTTCTAACAAGATGCCTGCATCCCAACTAACCATCTCAATAGTCTGTCTGAAATGAAAGGTATATTATGATAATAAACCTTGAACTTTTTTATTATTGCTTATGCAAAAGCGCTGAGCTTTAAAAGATTCACTATGCCGTCCTTTCCGCTTGATTCTCCTTTGAGTGATGTGCAATCACTGTCCAATTTCTCATGTTAACCGTCTCTCTCTCTCTCTCTCTCTCTCTAACCAGGACAAGCAAAACAAAGCAATTTTAGTCAATTGTATGCTTAAGGCATCGGATTTGAATTCTTGATCTATTCGCATTGAATGGCAAATGTTGCCGAATGTTGGCCTACGATGCTGTCTACACTTCGATGTAGGGACATTGTGAACAACAAACTATTTTTATTCGTTTCTTTCCAAAACTAAAGTAACCTTAAATTAATCGTTTATTTGGTCTTTGTTAATAGCGTTACCTCAAAGTGATCCTTTAATTGAAAGTTTTAATCCAATGTATCGTATGGAAGATTTTCTAAGCGCAATCTGTACCTCTGATTATTCGAGTCTACCCACGAAACTGACATGGTATATTAATGGGGAGCTTGTAAGTAATATGAACTCTTTGAAACGCAGATTTTTCGACTTCATATAAACGAGACTTTCATAATTATTTCATCTTATATATATTTTGTACTGTATAAGGCTTCGCTAAGCGAACTGCAACCGAATGTAGATACAAGCATATCAGCACATGGGTACATATTGCGACGACAAAAATTGCAAGTACACTTTTACCTAAGTGGCCCACGATTCTTTCATGCCGGTAAAATTTTACAATTAAAATGCGTGGCAGAAATAGAAAACTATCCGGAACTTATACGAGAAACCTCATTGAATGCAGCTTTAATACCATATGACAACTTAAATAATCAAATGTTGATTCATGCTGGGAATAGTGGCGGTAAGTGGCAAAGAATTTAACGAAAAAGTAACTCTCTTCGAAAGCTATACGACAATCAAAATTATCTTGAAATGTCCATGTGTTCACTTAATAATAATAATAATAATAATAATAATAACAATCACAATAAGATTGCATCTCTGAAAGCAAATGAACTATGGGTTAAATTGAACATTTTTTAAATCTGATAATCAGAAAATCGGTGAATAAATTCTAATTGAAAAAAGTGTGCATCAAGGTGCTTATTATGCTCCAATGTAACTATAAAACCATTTATATGCAATCCCTTAACAATGAGGCTGCATATACAGCAAATATTTCTTGATGGAATTGTAATTGATTTCTGGCCCGTTATCCTTTCATAAATTTGAAAGCAAATTGATTTTGCTCGACGAAGGGAAGAAAAGAGAAACATGCATGTATGTGGGAGATCAGGCCACGTCCGTATGCATGCAGCAAATGTAGAATTGATTTTCGTGTGTGTGTGCGTGTGTGTGTGTGTGTACGTGTGTTTTTATTTATTTGTTCTTTCCATCTTATCTCATCAATTTATTTACACAATATTCTCTTTTTGTACACTTCGCTTCTCGCCATCTTGTAAAGCACAGGAGCCAACACAGATTTTAAAGCTTTAAATCATCGTCACACAATCGTTATGCATTTCACAGTTGCTGTGATATGTGCGACCGTGTTGTATACGTGGAATTTATGATCTCTGCCAGGTATTGTTCTCAAGTATTAAATAAATGTAATAAAAATAATAAGTGTGAGGATGAAGTGAGTGAGTGCATGTAAAACGTAATGATCGATTATAATACTTGACAAGCAATCGATGGGGACGGCAATCATCAGTTACTATATATCATACCTTTAGTTAGTCTCTTCAATAGAATGTGAACGGTAAAGTTAGAGAACGGGCCGGGCCGGGCCGGGCCGGCCATTTAACCGTTTTAAATTGAAATAGAAATGTAAAGAGATGTTGTACATAAATAAAGCTATGAACGAATGAAAAGTTCATAAATCGAACACAGAATCTAAATCCACAGCATACCATAATTAATATCTGAATTGATGTGTACTTAGTTGTAATTACGATACGTTCTGATCATAAATTTAAGTGTTTTATATTGATGTGTATGTGTGAACTTTTATTAGATATTATTAACATTATAATGTAAACACATAAAAACGAACGGTTGGTGATTTAATTTTTCCTTTTAAAAATCGAAAAATTCAATTCAATGATATTCAACGTAAGCTCAGAGATATTTCTTCTTTCGTACTACTATGAGAAAAAAATAAAAAATAAAAAAATAAGAAAAAAAAATGCCTTTTTTTTTTTTTGCTGTGGTTTTGAGAAAACAAACACTTGCCAGAATGCATTTCAGTTTTAATGAAAGTTTAATTTAAGACTTTAAGACAAGTAATTATTCTTAACTTCTTTTTTTTGTTATACAAAGCAACAAAAACTACGCAATAAAGGAAAACCAAAGACATCGATTTCTTTAGCAAATAGTTCGTACTACAAAGTTTTTTATATTCGAATTTTTTTTACATACATATGTTAAGCTTTTACGTGAACTCAATACTTTTTTGATAAATTATTTTTAGAAAATTTTGAAAGAATTTGTCCAAAAAGTATTAAGCTTCTTACTTTATAATAACATAAAAGACTTAGAGTTCAAGCTAACAAAGTCCAAATATCTATAGACATCACCCTTGATTGCTTCGAACGTTAAAGCGATTAACGGCAGCCGAAGTGCAAAGAATTTCCTGATCCTTATACCGGAAGTAGCGGCACAAAAAAAAAAGATTTAATCGCTTTCGTTTTGCGAATTGCATTAATTCATTAGTTCTTCGCAGAAGAACGAAGTGGTAGACCTGACATTAAAGGGAGTGTAGCTACTTGGCGAAAGTAATCGTAATTACATTTGTGACAATAAGTAGATTAATCACGCGGCGAAAGACCCCTGCTGTCTGGCAAAGTCTCTACTAAGGGCTTAGAAGCTTACATTGTCATTTTGACGGATCGAAAGAAGAAGCTGCTCCTGCGACCATTTCTAACATTTCGAAAGAAACTCTCAAAACTTACCAATAGCAAGCATATCCTTTATCGGTGGTAAAATTGAGCCACCTACTTACCCTAACTGGAGAAAAAATAGAGACAAGTAGTATAATAGGTTCAGCTTCGTGCGGGATATCACCAAAGTGCGAACTCTACGAACCTAAGTGAATACGATATTAGTGAGCGGCCTGTTTTTCACTCGAAAGAGTTGATATTTTGTAGTGATAGGATTATGGGGATAGGTCTTGCTGGAAAGAAATTCTTCTAACGAAACAGTCCTTACACTACACAAACCAATTAATTAATTTTTAAATAACAATCACTTCGCTGCCAATTTAAATTCAATACTTTTTTGAGAAACTATTGCCCTTCTGTCTTTATTAACTAGCAAAGTATGGGGCCTATAAATGATTATGTTCGTAAGCGACACCGTACTAACCCCGATTTTGGTTAATTCGAGCCAGAGAAGAGTTTGGAAAATTTCAAGGTTCATATGAATGCCGTAGCTCATGGCTGCGCTTGCCACTACTACCAACTTAAAGACACCCTTCAACTATGACATTTAAATGCGAAAAATTTAATCAGAAGAGACTTATAGACCTTGAAAAACAATGAATTGATTAGCGGATCAGTTTCACTTACAAGGAACTAATTAAATTACTTTTGACCTTATGGTTGCATTATAAGTATGTATTATTTTTCTTATACTAAATTGAACGACAACTACGTAAAAAAAGAAGAAATTTTTGCAAACTTCATTTAATAAAAAAAAAATAACGACTAAAATTGTAAATTGAAACAAATATTATTATTATTAAGAAGAGGGAAAAAAGAAAACGAAAAGCAAAACCAAACCGTTGCCAAACATATAAATGCACAAAACCAACTAAATATTTATGTATTTAGTTATCTAAATGCTAGGCACACAACTTTTTTGTTACTTTTCATGTATAACATATAATAATAATAGAAATAAAAAAATTAACAAAAAAGAAAATAAATAAAACGATATCAAAATGATACCAATCGGTAAAAACTGGCACTTGAATAAAATTGAAAACTAAACAATTTGAACAACAACAACAACAACAACAACAACAAAACCGAAATTGTATAAAATAAATAAATCTGCATTGCTTAAGGGTAATTTAATAAAAATAGGATTTGAAAACTAACTTAAAACGAAAACCTAAACTGAAACCAAAAAAAAAAAAAAAACAAAGCAAAAAACGCAAAAAATAATAATGAAAATAGCAACAAGTTCAAGGCAAATAGAAAGTAAGGAAACAAAAAAAAAAAAAAAAAAAAAACCGAAAAAAAATACTCAACCAAAAAAAACGTGAAAAAAAATGTTATTCGTCTCAGAGCGAATCTTTAATATCGACCACCCAAGCCCATAGACATACATACGCGCAAATCGGCCCGATTATCGTCGAATTGACTGCCGACTCAAGACTATTTCTGAGCTTATATCTACATGAACCCGGAAAAATGTTTGTAGGAAAATTTTGAAGGCGAACCCCTCGCGAACTCCAACTTACTAACAGCAATTTATGAAATTTTTTTTGAAAGTCTAGCCTCTTTTTTTTTTTTTTTTTTTGTAATCTTTGCAACTATGAAAAATTAAGTAGCCTGAGTATCGAATCACCAGCGCATTTCAATGTGCTCCAGAAGAATAATTTCTTTAACTTTAAATGTTTGCTAATATAAGGTCCTTAAGAACAGAGCAATAAGTTGACGGATGTGCGGTTCATGGACACTGCACATTCTATGGAATCCTCTCGCATGCTTTTCTAGGTTTTAAAAGCTTCCCATTTTGCCCCTTTACAATCCCATATTTAATTCTAAATCTAAAAAACATGACATTTAAGTCATTTAATCCAGTGTATGTTTATTCTCCGGGGGTGGGTGGTGGGTATAATGATTAATGCAGATATAAAAAAATCGAAAGATTTGATTGTTCAGTTGTGTCGTCAATCAGTTATTTAATTTAATTTAATTTAATTAAAGGTAAAACTTTTTGTATAGAAATATCTTAACGCATATAAATCATACCAACTAACTAACTAAATAAATTGAGTAATCTTTCAAATTCTTAGGATGACTAACATCATCACACTGACACTTGCAAACACGACTGCCTAATGCATTCTTCATCCAAGAATATTACAAAAGCCACACTCAATACGACATAGACGCATTTACCCCTTAAGCTCATGTATGACTGTAGTCTGTAATACAAACTGTACATTAAAAATTTACAAAATATATATAATTTTAGGATTACATAATAATAATAACGAAGTTATTGTGAAATTTACTCAGAAGAAAGAGTAAAAACAAAAGGAAAAAAAAAAAAAACGAAAGAAATTGAAAATGTATTAATAAGAGACACAAACACATACAATTGATATTATTGACAGTAAAGAAAAGTCGAAAATTTATTTAAATTTAATCAACATTTATTATAATTGTTAAATAATTTTGTTACTATAAAAATTTCACAAAATCAACAATAAATAATAAAACTAATTAATTATAATATTAAGATAAGTATAAGATATTATCGCTCATCGCACACAAAAAATATTCACTTGTGAATACATAATCATATGAGCATATGTTTCATTTAACGCTAAACAAAGGTAAGTTCCTATCGACACCCGTTTCTAAATACCCGTTTACCTAAAGTTAACATACTTTCAAAGTTCCCTCTTGGCGAAATAATACTAATAGATCGTCAGTTCCTCTCTACATCTAGAGAATAATACGTTTTTTTTATTTCATCGCTCAAATTATTCTCAATCAACACAATATTTTGACTCGATTCAGGCTTTTTCATCTAACCATGCGTTATGTGGTTGTCTCCGCTCTTGTGTCTTCACGCAGACAGCCTGAAAGCCTTTCACATGCTTATGTGCTTATATCGCATCAACTTTAACTTTTATATTTCACATCCAAGGCCCAATTGATAATACCTCCAATACGATAACCATCCGTCTGTAGTCAAGTAAATTTCCCATAGGCCCGATAGCTGAAAATAAAACCCCGCGTGCTCTCTCTTCCTTTCATAAGAATCTTCCGCAATAAATAACAATGTTAATCTGCAGTTCGCCAAGAATATCGATCTTCACTTTATATAACTCTCAGTGCGATAAAATAGGACCCCGATGACAGAGAACGATAGCACAAGTGTATAAGAGCTGCGTTTTGTTGCGGGTCCCTTTTTGACTAATTATTGCATAAATTTATAATCCAGTGCATATATATTTGGCTATACTGAAAATTGATCTCAAACTTTTAATGTCAAATATTCTTAATAAGAACGATTTTAAGTAAAAAAAAGCGATACCCTCAAGCTGCTTAGCCAGCGTAAACCGGCATGATACGGAAGTAACAAAAAAGAGAAGAGCCTCCTGAGCAGGAAGAAAAAAAAGGCCAGTGGACAGTAATCACTGTTCAAAATTATATCTTTTGAAACTTTTCAATATTTTTGCTTGCCCTGAGTCGCATCGAAACACTTAATTTACGTTACGTAACTTAAAAGACAAGGGATTTACTTGCTGTTAAGTCTTAATTTATTGAATTTTTGTTATACGTTTCCCTGCACGTCCGCATAAGGTCTGGTTGCCTTGGTAATTATCAAATTGAAGCTTAAAATGTATTGCGTTGCTTTCACTCACATTCCTTTCTCCCCGTATGCGTACGCAAAACATGAATATTATAATCGGAAATGTGCAAAAGAAAATTTTGCAATTTATCTTAAACTTATAGCACGGAAGAGAAGGCTTGCTCATACATGCCTGGTATGTAATAATGACTTGGCTTTAATCCTTACCTATTATTTGTTTCATTAAAGCAATCAATATATCATGAAAGGCTGTAAGACTCTTAAGACCATTTATTTAATTTAATTTGAGTAAAATAATAATCAATGCATCAAGAGAAGCATCAGCTCAGCATCAACATCATTATCAAGAATTTTAAAATCTTCTGTGCTTTCACATAAATTAATAGTTTATTGTTATGTGCTTCCGTATTTAATGCTAGGATATACGTTTAAATAAATCTACTTCAATAAATAGTGTTACATAAACACACACATGCGTTCATCTAAATTAAAAGGAGATTAGTTTAGGCAACAAGAAAATCATCTAAAGAGTTTACATTATTTTATTGCAGGACATAAGCTTTTTTCATCATAACTTCAAAGTACTCGTCACTGTCAATGGACGCACTAATACTGGCGTAGTAATTTGTAAACTCTTCTTTCGTAACCTAAATATTAGAAAAGAAGAAATGAATGAAAATTGCTTTCATTATACGATATGTACGCCCAACGCATAAATGTTTATCATTTTTTACTTGTCCATCTCCGTTTCCGCGTCCACCCTCGAAAGTATGCAGGAATTCTGTTAAAATTTCGTCTTCACTCTTTTCACCGCTCTTAAATTTGGGATGCTCGCGGGCGCTATAGACATTCTTTAAATCCGCTAAAGTAATAACACCATCGCCGGTTTTATCCATTTTCGCAAAAGCTTGATTTATTACCGCTATACGTTGCTGTGACATAGGAGGCTGTAAAATATTCCCCAAAAAAATTTTTTTTTTTTTTTTTTTTTTTTAATTTTTATGCTAATGCTCGCTCGTATTTTCAATCAGTGCACCATTACAATTACTTACTCTTAACTTGAGAAGAAATTCTGTCATATTTATCGAACCACTACCGTCTTCATCAAAGCTGCATGAAAACGTGAAAGCATGAATGAATAAGACATTATTATGGACGATTGGTCGCATGTTGTTTTACCTGCGAAACAATTGCTTAATCTCCTCTTTACTTATATCCAGACCAAATTCTTTAACACCTTTTGTAAATTCTTCTTCGTTTAATGCTTTGCTGCCATCATCATCCATATTGCGAAAGGCTCTATAAGAAGAAGAAATGAAGTAATGTTTACATAAAGAAATCCGATATGCAAATATAAAACGGATATAAAATTGCACGTCTTTGGGCGCATATGCTCTTTATGTTCCAAAGATAAGTAAGCTTTATGCTGCTTTATAAAGCGAAATTTTTAAACGGTTTAAATGTTTCTGTGTACCGAAGGCTACATGCATTTATCTCAATCTATCTATTCGCCCCCATATCCCCCTCTCCCTCTCTCTCACTCTCTTTTTCTCAATGCCACTCACGTTGTCTCTCTATTGACGGCATTTTTATAATCGCAAAAATTGAAGTACAATACGCGGAGAAAACTCTTCCTGATCAGTCCAATTGCTCAAAGGAATGAATGGCCGTATGTGCGGGTTTCCTATAAATGTGAGCAACTTATGTTCGATTGTGAACGAATCACTTTTTATACCCAGCAATTTTGCAAGCTGTGGAAATTTTTATCGTGGATATATTGCAGTTTATTAGCAATTAGCAAAGACCCCGAGAAACAAAGATGTTCTAAGTTTTTCTTATTCCTCACCACACGCATTTATTACCCGAATTGAGACCACTACTCCACTACTAATCCACTTGGAAGAATTTCCCATATTTTTGGTCAAATTTGAAGTAAATAGCTTCAGTTTTGCCGGAGGGAAAATGTGTATCACAGAAATTGCACGTACGGTCAGACAGGCGTGCTTACATTGCTTCAGAATTTGTTGCTCATCACAAACGTAGTACAATGTCTCTCTTATGAAACCACGGAAAACCCATATTATAGAATTTTGGAAATCGCAATTGACTTGTTGAAGCATGGATAACTACCTTCCTGTATGGATAGAGGTTGTGCTACTTTTCCTGCGCTTCTGTTACTGTATTCTCAAATAGTTTAAGAAAACATGAATAGACGCAGTTAAGCACATCTGGAGCACTTTACATTAAATAGATATGTATAGAGAGAGAGAGAGAGAGATAGAGAGAGAGAGCGAAGGAAAAAAAGAATGTTCATTAAATCCATTTACCTTCCCAAGCCATGAATGCCGGTAGCGCCGCGTGTCAAGCAGAGTGCTCGCATTTTAGTCAATGGATCCATACCGCCAGCAGCTAGTTGTTCTGATGCTTTGTTACGTAGATTAGCTTCTATCTTTTCCAAATCCTATTAGTTAAATATAATAGAAATAAATTTCACTTTATTCGTATACCAAAAAACGTAATAAAAAGAAATAAAGGGGAAATCCATGAAATCAGGTTCTATCTCGCTTTTATTTAATTAAACACAATGAAACGGTGGATAGTAAGCGCATATAAGCTTATTAGCGATCACATAACCAATGAGTGACATTACATACATACATTACAAAATCCATGTATTATCCAAATTCATATGAAAAACACAAAAATTCTCGCTGGATTTTTATTTTGATTTTCTTGTATTTAACTTTTGCTTTTAATTAATTTTTATTAGTCTCGCTTTTATCTTCGCATTTTCGTATTTGCATCTATGCCTTAGAACTTTTTATACACATATACATATACATATTAGTAGCTTTATACTTACATTTAGAGATTTCGATTGTAATGATTGCTGACAACTTTGTAAAAATACTACAATCAACAACAGTTTGCCCCATCCCACACTCTAGCGAAAGAAAATTTCAATTTAAAATTAATTAACAATAAAAGCAAATGAAAATCAGAAAAAAAAAAATTTTGTCATATCATTTCGTTACTATTTAAGGCAGAAGCAAGTCGTCCTACCTACATACATGCTAATGCACACATTGTAAACAACAAATAACGATAGAAAGAGATAGAAGATGTAGAGATGCTCAATAATTCAAAATAGCGTGCATACGTTTTTAAAGATAAAAAACAAAAACGAAAATTGAGGAAAAAATCAATAAAACATATAATTGATGCTATTCGTATAAGTGTCATGCCATGCCGTGCATGGTTTGCATGCATTTATGCATGTGCCTGTGAGAACAAGTGCTGCTGGAAACCTGGCCTTAGAAAGTGCTTATGAATTTGATAGGCTTTTAAATGAAAATATTTACTTTTCTTCCTAAACAAAAAATATTTCATTAAAGTCGAAGACAACTCTCGCCTGTAATTCGTGCGATGAATAAAATCTTTTAAATATGAATATGAGAAAGCTTGAACCGTACATTATTTTGTGATTGGCATTCCCTCTAAATAAATTCCATTTCATTTCAAGGCTGGCGAAGCATGGCGTTAAAAAAACTTTTTTAAAAGATTTTACATTTTCACATAACTAACTAATCGTCTGCTTCTTGTAGAAATAGAACATAGAACGGGAGGAGTTTGCTTTACATTCGTTATGCTTTACAAGCGACAAACAATTTCTCCGTTGTCTAGGGTCGAATTTTATATACCCATCACTTACAATCGAACAAGTATTTAGTTTTTTTCTTACGACGGATTGACCGAACGACACCGATCTACCGTGACTTAACAGCATACTTTTGTATCAATAGCTTAACAACTATTTTTTTAAAGGCGAGAGTTGATCGATCGAGACCGATCTGCTCTGATTTAGTAGATAGCCCTGACATGCACTTTTATACCATGACTTTCACATCAAATTTATAGTTCGCTAGTACGTTCACCACTGGTACGTGTTTATGCCATCTTCTGGAGCATGTTATATGTGTTATTTATGGAGCACGATCACTTTCAAGCTTATTTGACGAGCCTCACATCACTCATGCAGGTCGCAGGATGACATACAGATGTACGGTAACTATTGATGAATGCCTGTGATTGCTAGATAGTGCCAACCTTCAACCGAAATGTGTCAAAATTTCCTCACATTCCCACCATTAGTTTACAAGTTGCAGTTGGTTTCGTCACTAAAACAACTGTAACATATAAACTAATGCCTATCATACTATCTAAAAATCATATGGATTCGTAAATAGTGACGACGGATGTATGTTATGCTAATGGTCGAGCGAAGGGCTAAAATGAATACATGTCTATATTTCCTCGATCTTAGGGCAAGCGTCGTCTTTGAGATACACCTTCTAGCACCTAAGACTTCTTATTACCCGTAATATTTTTTAACTTACTATCAATATCGATTTAATAGTTTCTCAAATTATGGGGTTAGTTACCGATAACTGGTGTAAGTGTTTGTGAAAACGAGTTTATCAGCCACAGAGATTTCCCTTACCCAACATAGCCATAGTGTACATGTGTGTTATATGCAGTGTTATACAATGTCAACAATAAGTTTTCTTGTGTGCAATAACATTACTCTCCTTTTGTACGTGTAATTTACTTTGATATTGTGTGGCGTCGTTGATAGCTACCCATCGAAAAAATGTGGAACCGAAAATGTCTTTTACGTCAAACAAAGTCCGTACAAGATCGGAATATTATTCTATCTCGTTAGAAGGGAAAGACAATACTGAGATGTAGGCATGGTTTGAAAATTGAAAATTTTTCAAGTCCTGTCTATAGTGCGGTGGCAGTGTGGTTTGTTCAAACGCTGCTTGACTGACATAATCATGATTTTTTAGTTGGTTTACGTTGATATCTGACGAATGTCGCAACTAATCTCGTTTTCGTCTGTATGCGTGCAATGCCTAGCAGGCCTTTTAAGTAAAATTTAAACCGTTACGTCTTAGTAGCCACACATAAAACGGATTTAAAACTATTTTTTTACAGCCGATTATTGTTTGCCTTTAAATAGCCGATCCAAAAAAGAAGAAGAAAAATTAAGAATGCCTTCACTCGCTCGTCACGAGAGCAGTATAACAATCGTGATTGCAAAAAACTCTTTAAAAGACGAAAACTTTTGGTTGACATTGTTGCTCGGTTGTTCCGAGAATAGTTTCGTATTCAATGAATCACACTTTAGTAGAAGCGGTATGAAAGCAATGCTTGGAATTGACCTTATACATGACTCATGCGTTCATGAAAACCAACAAAACAATTACACATACATGCATATCATTAACGCAAAAATTCATTATAGCTTTAGGAAAAAAACCACTTACGAAAAATTCATCAACCATTTTGTGCATTAAATATTTAAATGCTATAAAAATCCAAGGGTAAGATGAAAAGAAAATTATTTAACACAAAAGCCGAAATAAGTTTCACTTGAGGTCAGTGAGGTCAGAACACACTTACGTTAGTTTATTTATATATTTATTTATTATATTTATAAAAAATTAATTTCTCTTTTTTTCTTTATTTTCTTGTTTTTTTTTTTTAGGTTTTTTCTGATTTACGTGCTGACTTATCAGCTTTAAAGCGCAAACTAATATAGAAATAACTAACGAAACGGTAACAGCCGGTGAGTAGTCGATCGTTTTTATTTTTTTTTACTTCACTTTTCATTTATTTGTTTAAGTTTATTTTGTTGAAATAAATCCCACATCGTACGCTACACTACGTAGGCGATGACGAATTGTGTGTAAAAAAGTAGAACGATTTTCTCTCCGCATCTGTTGACAAAAAAAAAAAACCAGTTTTTATCTTTACTGCAAGGGGTAAAGTTGCTAAAGCTCTGCACACAAGAGAGAACACATTTGACTTGATGTTCGTAAGACAAGAAAGAATTTGTAAGCGATTTAAACCGAATCTTCAAGCACTCATCGCTTACTTGCTATCGATACTTGATAATGACGAAAATAACGAATAACATAACGTACATATATATGTGCCAGTACCAGTGCCAGTGCCAGTGTCAGTGTCAGTGCCAGTGCATAAACATACTTGATGTATGTACTTAACACACCCGAAGGGTAAGGCTCCGAAAGCAGCAAGTTTTAACATGCATGATCTCTTAGATATGCAAGCAATGCGAGTAATAGCATAGCGAGGAGAGTAGAGATCACATTGGAAGCAGAATTTCAATCGTTTAGTTTTGATTGAATCTCTCAGTGGATTTAAGAAAGGTGAGAAATTTCTGGAGAACTTTTTTAGACAGGCTTTTTTTCTATTCGCATTGTCCAATAATATATATATATATACATATACATTTCGGTTGAGATATCTTCGCGTTATAATAATGGATAAGCGTGGGGTTTAAAGAAGTCTTTTCTTAAGCCATCTAATATACCCAGCTAGGGACCTCGCGCGCAAACCATTGCTCTGAAATTATTATAATTGTGATCTGTAAAAATTTTGTTTGCTTCTACCGCCATCTTCCCTGCAATATTCTTTTTAATTTAGTAAGACCAAGCCAAACTTATATCTAAATATAAGTGAGAGATTCAATAAACTTAGTATATCCCTATTGTGGGATAGTGGCTCATTCTAATGCTTCTTCAAATTCCATAAATGATTTCATGAGCTATTCGTCTGCTTTAATTGCTGCTTGTTTAATTTAATTGACTGTTTTACTAACACAAATGTTCTTTTCATTTTGTCAATTAGACACACCTTGCACTGCTATGAAATTTCTATGCTCTACTTTTCAAAACATCATCTATAGGAAAAAGTTTAATGAAAAAAAATAAATAAAAAATGATGATAATGAATGATTTAAACAATAATTGTCGTTAAATTATTTAAACTTGAAAAGTATGCAGTAAAGCAAAACCATAGATTTTGCTTTTTCGCTCTACTATAGCGTGTACGATATTTTCATTTAATATAGTCATCGTTTGCAGTTTGAGGCCTTGATTAACAATTGGACCATAGGGCTGGACCATAGATATCGCACAGTCTCTAGCAAACAATTCATATTCTTTCTAGAATATCACCTCCATTCGACAATTTGTGTAGGAAGAGTAGTGCTTTCAGTGACGCTACTTGCGTTATTTTCAAATCAATATAAAAACTCGAATTTGTTGTGTCTTGATTAAAACATTACTTTTTAATGGGAAAAGACTCCGTGAAAGCATTGCATTGCCATGGAAAGTATTAAAGTAAACATCTTCCGTTAAAAACAATAATTCGTCGGCGGTTTATTGTTGTTATACGAGGCCGCAAATGCTATGGTGCTAGACCTAGACATAACTACACTGTAACATATCAAAGACTATTCTCAAAACTATTCTCGATAATGGTTAGGTAAAGTTGCCAACGAGACTTCGATTCATTTTGCGTGCAATTTTAGGCTTGAGAAAGCCGAGCCCTGCTTTTACGATTCTCTACACTGAGAAAACTCAATAGTTATGGTTTATGGACTCGCTGCAACGAATAGAAAGTTTACAGCTATCTGTCGATAAAGTTTAGTTCGAATGAAAACTCTTTCGACCGTAAAATTGCTCAACTAAGATATGAGTGAGTTTACTTGGTATCAGAAACGATGAACCGGGCCTTGGAAAAAGATTTGATGAGTTAAATATGTTGAAGTCAATATTTTTGGGACTTTGACTAATCGGTCTATAGAAAAGATCGCAAAGAGAGACTATTCCATGGGCTTTACTTTGTCAACGTATGAGAAATATTTGGCCGAGACTTTTAAGTTAAAGTGCGGTTTTGGGAAGATGGCTGAAAATATTTAACATGGTTTGCAACGTACATTGGGTGGATCAACCTACACGACGACTCAAACTCTTATTCCTTCGGAAGCAGTAGTTAATGGATGATACAGCCATTTTCTCTGTTTATTGTCTTGTCCTTTCAAATGAAGCCTTCAATATTTGTCAAGCCTGCAAGTCAAAAATTCGATTGCTCAAGCCATTGTTACTTAAAAGTTAAAGTTTATGCTCATCACCCAACAAAATATCGTTTCTTGATTTGTCTCTTCTATATTGTAGAACATTTTCTTCTGCACTTTATCTTTAAAATGTTAAAAATGTTTTTTCTGTTAAATTGAATGATTCATGAAATGTAACGTCATATTTGTTATTTTCATTGTAACAAGTAATTATAGCTACTTACGAACGCTTTGGGGATCTCTGGCTGAACTTAAGCCAGTACTTAGTGTGAAAGGCCCTTATTCGCGATTGTTACTTCATGTAAGTCCCTTGCTATAACTTGTTACCGAAGAACTTCTGTGTCGAACTTACAAATCGCTGAGCTCGATAAACTTAAACGTCATAGTTCATTATTGACAAATCGATGCTTAGCATTAGATTCTATGGCCGTTCAGCAGCAACATCAAAAAATTAAAGTTTAAAATTGACATCAATGTAATCATTAGAGTGTGATGAAGCAATCGCACTACTATTTTACCATAAATTGACATAATGTCTCGAATGTCTTTTGCTTACATATGTGTGTCAAAATATATTAGAAAAAATTTCATTTATTGTGACATTTGGATATTAGTTTAAATTTAACAGAAAATAAACTTGAAAAGCTTTTCAATGTATTCAGTCGTAAACGAACCTTCTGTATATGGATATGTCTAACTTAAAAATTCTCTTTTTTTTTTAATGCGAATACATGTATAGTAAAGACACTAAAAAATAATGAGCCTAAAAATAGAAAAAGATTTATTTATTTCCAATTGTCAGCGTACATAAAAGGCAATCGAATGAATACAAGAATGAAATAAACGACACTTGGGATAATGAAGGCTCAATACTTTTAGCTAACTTGTTCCAAAAACAATATAATGATACGTAACGATTACATGGGAGAGAAACATAGGGGAGGAGAAAATATGGTATGTGGTGTCGTACGAATGTCAGAATAACACTAAAATTTACGTACACAGATTCGCACGCATAAACGGTATACATTTATATGCAAATGAATAACATCTATACAGGCGGACGTAACATATTTTATTTTACACTCGTATGAGTTAACGTTTAAGATTTAAAGCGCGCACATTTATACATAAATAGATATGTAGATAGATAGATAGACAGATATACATATATATATGTTTCTATATAGTTACATACATAGATATGCGTTTATATATAAATATGTATATAGCAAATAACATTGAAATTTTTTATTCATTTACTTAATACCCTCATCATCATTATTATGCAGATTTTGCTTTTTCTTAACTGCTGCTGTTGTTCCTTGAAGATAATAAAAAAAAAAAA